TGTAATCACAATTTTCTCTCTCTTTATTAAATGAAATTTCCTTGACTTTAGCTCTGTGACTATTGTAAAGGATAGCCAGCGCCCGTGCATCGAATATTTCTGCATTCCAGTCACTAAATACATGTGACCAGTCTTTCTAAACAAACATGCCCCGTCCTTGATTCTGGGTGTGTTCGATTCACAATTCTGTTATAGTTCCCCTATCTTATAATGCTAGTCTTCGTTATATTGATCCATGTTTCCCTCATCTTCTGTTTGTATAATTTGACCTCGTAACTTGACCCTATACACGTTCGAGGTGTGTATATTTTTTATGTATCTCCTGGCAGAAATGTAGGGCTTTGACAAGGGGAGTTGTGTTAACTTTGGCCAAGTCCGCTAGATCGATCGGTGGATTGTATTGTTTTTGTCAGCTTCATATCACGCCCATAGTGTAAAAGTTCTGTGGTATTTGGGAGAGACTAGGGTGAGAGTTCGTTTATACTCTGCAATTGCTTGTCATCAATACACGGAACATTTTTTAGCGATGCAATCTGTTCTTGCTACACGCCCCCACAAGATGCACGCAAAAATCAGCGGGAAATGGTTTCTTGCTCATACATTTACAAGTCGGAACGTAGACTTGCACCTGTTATGTAAAATTTTTATTATGAAAAAAAATTCAATCATTGCACTGTCGACATACATGTATTTTCTAGATTGTATACAAAGCTTTATAACGAAATGCAACCTAAATTTCCCGTCTGAACAGACTGACACTCGACAATCACGACTTTAAGTAGACGACGCGAATGCTCGATTAAAATTCTTGATAAAAACCCAGAGTGCGTGACTAATACTTTTTACATCAGGATTACAAGGAATTTTACTCCAAAAGAAACGGTGTTAACACGTTCGAACTTTACAGCAGATGGCGATTAAACCTCACATTCCAATGACAGTTGTAGAACACGGATGAAATCCAAAGATTGTGAGATTTCTGCAGCATCAGACAATCTTTCATTAAGTTTTTCTAATTTCATTTTATGTTGGTAATTGCCGAGGAAATTTCTTTTGGGGATATAGAAATCCAAAGAGAAGTTTATAGACATTGTCTTGGAACCCTTGACAGTTTAACTACAAATTCTTCAGACATTAATCAGACGTATTCCCCCCATAGTCGTCATACGTTATTATAAGGGGTCACGTGTACTACCTTTCCTCATGACCTTTCATCTTTTGTATACTCTATACGGGAGAAAACGCGTAAACTTGTATATGAAATATTATTAATCATACTTGTATGAAAAGTCTAGGATACATTTTGGTTGAACTGTCCATGTTTGATATTCAATGTATACAGTGAAAAATTCAGCGACACAATGTACAAGATCTGCCACTGGCGTGTTCATTTCTACAACTAAGTGCAAGTTCTGGAGTCCAGATACCTGCATGTCCATGTACAATTAGCATAAATGTATAAAGGCTTTTTTTTAAAAACAGATTGTCAATGGTACTCATCAGTAAAAGGGTTTTAACATCCTTTTCTAAAATAAGTACATTGGGGAGGGGGTTAGGAAGGTCAAAATATCTCAGAGAGTAAAAAATAATGATATAACAGTATAAAAGAATGATTTGTGGTCGCAAAATCTACTACGTTTTGTCAAAATATTTTATTTTGGGACATTCAGTTCAAATACGAACAAAACTCAAAAACGGTCCAAGGATATTTCCCCTATTAATCACAGGTGCTTGAGGACAGGACCCAACCCCCCAACCCCCTTTCGATATAGACCCCTGGGCTTTTTCGACTTTTTTTTCTCATAGATAATATTTCACTGACATATTTGTGATAAGATCTATACCAATAAATCGAAGAATTACCTAAAACAAACGTTTTATAAAATCTACCCTACATTGCATATAAAAATCAACTAATTTATATATAGAGAGTGGGTTAGAAATTTTTATAAAATGTTTATTTAAGCAAATTTTCTGAATGGATAGGATAGATTATATCACAAATGTGTCATCCATATATAATTTATGTGAAAGAAGTCTAACAGGCCCGGGGGGTCTATATTGTGGGGGGGGGGGGGGGGGGCCTGTCCGAAAGCCCCTGTGCTATTAATTGTAACACCATCTTCTAGTCATTATTTGATTAGGCCCCTATTATATTTTAAAGATCTCAGATGACGAATATATATATATATGTTTATTCACCAATCAAGGGCCCTCGGGGGGCATAAACAAATTATTACAATATGATTACACTGATTACAATTCTAAATTATAGGTGTATAATGTAATGTGACTAGTGATTAAGTTTGACATTGAGAATTATTAGTGCATCACCACAAGATGTAACATCATATCATCATGAAAATATAGGATTTGTTACATATTCACAGTACAGTCTCACACTGGATAAAAAGCATAGAAAACCATATAAGATATGAAAAAAAAAAACAAGAGACCCATGGGCCACATCGCTCACCTGAGCACTAAGGGTAGGAAAAAGTAGAAAATGGTTTTTTATTGTAGAGTTTAAATCCAAAAGTAGTCCCATAACCAATCATGGATTTGCTATATTTTAGAAAATGATTTTTAAAGAATTTTCCTTTATATATCTTTAAAAACTTTGGTCGGTCATTTTGGCCCCGCCCTACCCCCAGGGGTCATGATTTGAACAAACTTGAATCTGCACAATCTGAGGATGCTTCCATATGAAAATGATGAATTATGGCTTTGTTATTCTTGAGAAGAAGATTTTAAAAGAATTTTCCTATATATTTCTATGTAAAACTTTGGTCGGCCATTTTGGCCCCGCCCTACCCCGGGGGGTCATGATTTGAACAAAATTGAATCTACACTACCTGAGCATGCTTCCATATAAATATGATGAATTATGGCTTTGTCATTCTTGAGAAGAAGATTTTTAAAGAATTTTCCTATATATTTCTATGTAAAACTTTGGTCGGTCATTTTGGCCCCGCCCTACCCCCGGGGGTCATGATTTGAACAAACTTGAATTTACACTACCTGAGCATGCTCCCATATAAATATGATGAATTATGGCTTTGTCATTCTTGAGAAGAAGATTTTTAAAGAATTTTCCTATATATTTCTATGTAAAACTTTGGTCGGCCATTTTGGCCCCGCCCTACCCCGGGGGGTCATGATTTAAACAAACTTGAATCTACAATACTTGAGGATGTTTCCCCATAAGTTTCATCTTTCCTGGCACAGTGGTTCTTAAGAAGAAGAATTTTAAGATATGCCAACAAATTTTCATTAATTCCCAATTATCTCCCCTTGAATGAGGGTGTGGCCCTTCATTTGAACAAACTTTAATCCCCTTCATCCAAGGATACTTTGTGGCAAGTTTGGTTGAAATTGGCCCAGCGGTTCTTGAGAAGAAGTCGAAAATGTAAAAAGTTTACAGACAGACAGACGGACAGACGAACGCCGGACAAAAAGTGATCAGAAAAGCTCATTTGAGCCTTCGGCTCAGGTGAGCTAAAAAAACCATTTAAATAAAAATAATAAATAGAAGAAAAATTTTAAAAAATCTTGTTATAACGGCAGTACTCTGATATAAATAGTGCATCTTGAATACAAAGGGCACCAGGGGATGATACCTCTACACAGCCAGTCTGGCAAACCTGTACCATAAGTATTCAAGACGCTCATTAAAAATATTTAAGTGTTAACAGAAATAATAATTTCAATTAACAAGTATTTAGCTTATAATTATAAACTTCATGCATACACATGTAAATATATCTTTTGGAGTTAGTTCAATAGATATTTCACATTCTAATCTGAATATATGCATACCCACATACACAAACATACACTTACTGTTACACATATCCATGCATAAAAAATAATGACTTACATATATGTATATATATATAAACTAATGGTACTATCATGTATAAATGTAAATCTGTGAACTTGAAGGTAGTATACAATTAATGTAAAGAAAAGGTAACTTGGATACAGAGGGTACCAGGGGACGATGCCTCTGCACAGTCGATTATACTGGCAAACCCATACTCTAAGTATTCAAGACACCCATTCCAGGAGCGGATCCAGAATTTTTTTCCAGGGGGGGGGGACCACCTCAGTCCAAAAAAAAATCCAATCCCAGAAATTTCTGGACAAGCAAAAAAAAAAAAAAAACAACAACAACAATAACTCGCCCAAACGTCAAAAGTCAAAAACCCATTTCGTGTGTGTGTGTGTGTGTGTGGGGGGGGGGGGTAGTGGTGACTTTTTTCTAGTTTTAGTATACACATTTTCTTACCTGGTAAATTCCAGGGGGGAGGGGGTCCTGACCCCCCCTCTTAGGACCCCCCCTCTAGATACGCGCATGCATTCTGTACATTTTAGAAGGAAATGGGGTGGGGGACACATTTAATTTACAAAAAAAAAAAAATCTTTCATAGGTTTACTAATACTTTTCATACTTCAGCTCTCATAATCATTTTACTGACTTGAATCAGTATTTGCACATCCTCTTATATTTGCATATCATACCAGGCGCGGATCCAGGAATTGGAGTTAGAGGGGGCGCCAAAAGTAGGCAAGGGGTCTGGGGGCCGCCTTGAGGCCTCCAGTGGGTCCCTGGTTGGGGCCCAGGGGGCGAAGCCCCCGGAAGCTCTTAGGTTCTAGCGATTTTTTAGGGTAAAAATGAGGTCTACCAAGTATACATATTTATATTTTCTAGATGAAACTGATTTACGCTAACTTTGACAATTTTCGGGGGGGAGGGGGCGCGCCGGGTGCACCCCCCATTAAATCCGCCACTGCATACATCCTCGAATATTTGTCTAAATTCCAAAATTTTAGATCGAAACGCAAACGTGAAAAAAAAAAAAATTAAAGATTAAAAGTTGAAAATTGAAATACGATTGAAATTTTAAACATTTTTGAAAACATAATTTGTATGTATCATTAATATTACTCAAGAAAGATAACTATAGCTATGACACCCTATATGTTAACATTCCAGTCAGGTGAGGGCAAGCTTCCGCCATTTCTTATTTTCTGGATTCTTATTTGGACACGCATAAATTGGTATTGCCTATTATAATGTATTGTTATACATCTGAAATTGTTTGATTTAACATTAAGTTATTGTATAATTTTACAATGCATAACATTCCTGTAAAATAAACTAGGCAGGTTCATGAGGATTATTTAGATACTGGGTGAAAAGGTACATGGGTGTAATCCTTTAACAACCTTACGTTGAAATTAAACTTTTAAATAAAAATCGGTATCACCATAAGCAAATTACGTTTTAAGGTAAAAATTTTAATAAATCAGGACATTTTGATTTGTGAGATTATGAAATATAGAGTATATATAATATTTACTTTCGTTTTCGACCAAAGATATTTAGGCATTGAGAGCCATAATCAATGTCATATCATTCAAATTCTAGATTTGGACATGGATCCCAGCAGAAGTGCCCAGGATGTGATCAGATGTGACCTTTGTGAGACAGCTATAGTACAGATGTACTGTGATTTCTGTCATGTCAACCTCTGTAAACTCTGTATTGGAGAACACATTGCTGATGAATATGAAAAACATAAAATTGTCCCATTCCAACAAAGAAAATCCACCTTAATTTATCCACAGTGCAATACACATGAAACAAAAAGATGTAAATTTCACTGTAAAGAATGCAACACATCTGTGTGCTCTTTATGCATTATAACTGATACACATAAGGGGCATACCATTATAACTCTTTTGGATATCTTTAATTCAAAGAGAGAACTCATAGGGAAAGATACAGAAGAATTAGAACAAATAATTTCTCCTACTTATGAAGAAATTGCCACTGATATAGAAACTCAGATTGCCAATCTGGATGGAGAATATAATGAACTCTCAACAGCAGTAACAAAACATGGAGAAGAATGGCACAAAGAAATTGACAAAATCGTCAACAAATTGAAAACAGAAATAGAAGAAGTAAAAAATAAACATCTAAGCACTCTGAAGAAACATTTAGATGAAATTAAACAGATTATATATCAAATTCAGCAAACTTTGCTTCAGTTAAATAGAATAGATGAATCAAATGAAGTGTCCATGACTATGGAATACAGTTCTAAAATGGAAGAATTAAGCATACTTCCGCATAAAGTTAAGATATCACTGCCTGTGTTCAGTCCAAAGTCAAAAGATGCAGAACATCTTTATACATTGTTTGGATCTTTAACAGAATTAACTACCAAAACAGAAGAAAATGGGTACAAACTGAAGAAACCAGAGACACCAAGCAGAGAACTGCTTGAAGAACCAGAACTTATCACCACTATAAATACTGGGTATGAAAAACTCTATAGTGTTACCTGTCTTAGTGAAGAAGAAATCTGGACAAGTGGATTTGTCGATGATATGAAATGCTTCAACATTCAAGGCTCAATAATGAAGACAATCAAAACAAAATCAGGGAAATGGCCTTATGATATAGCAGTGACAGGTGATGGTGATCTAGTGTATGCCGACTGGAAAACAAGGACTGTGAATAAGGTAAAGAATGGACATACAGAGATGATCAGACTCCAGGGCTGGAGACCTCTCAATCTCTGTGTCACCTCCTCTGGTGATCTCATGGTTACTATGTACAGTGATGATAAAACACAGTCCAGAGTTGTGCGTTACTCAGGCTCCACAGAGAAACAAACAATCCAGTTTGATGAGGAGGGTAAACCTCTGTATTCAGGAAATGACTACATTAAGTACATCAGTGAGAACAGAAACCTGGATATCTGTGTAGCTGACAGTAAAGCTTGTGCTGTAGTGGTGGTCAATCAGACTGGAAAACTCCGATTTAGATACACTGTACATTCTTCTACTACAAAAAACAAGCCATTTAAACCTTACGGCATCACAACAGACAGTCAAAATCAGATCCTGACAGCAGACAGTGATAACCACTGTATCCACATCCTAGAACAGAACGGACAGTTCCTACGTTATATAGATAACTGTGATCTGAAGGAGCCATATGGTTTATGTGTAGACAAAAGTAATAATCTGTTTACTGCTGAGTATGGAGGAAAGATTAAGAAAATTAAATATCTTAGATAGACATGTATTTAAGGAATCACTGTCTAGTTAGGAGATTATGCCAGGGCATCAACAATAGTGGGAAACATGGGATAATTTGCATAATGGGCTTCCTGCTAAAGTTATCCCATGTTTCCCACTATTGTTGATGCCCCTAGCATACTCTCCTAACTAGACAGTGATTACTTATATTTCCATTTTTACTTGAAATAACAATCTGAAAATAAATCGAAATACCGTCTAATTTAGTAGATTTGAAATGCACGAGGCCCCTTGACATCAAATTTTACTTTAAAAAAAATAGTCTCATAAAAACACGGAACAAATTTATTGATTATTTAGAATTTTTTCCACACAAAACACTGCCCACAAAGATACTTTTTAAAAGCATTTGACCTCCAAGTACAACATTAACATACGTCATGCACATACATGTACAGCACATGACCTTGGTCAACCATGAGTGAAAATCTTTAGGCACCCTAACAACGTCAGGGGGGTGGGGTGGGGTCCCTGAGTCAACATGATCCCATTTTACAAACAACACTGTGTGAACTGAGTCAGGACCCCAGGGTATAACCAAGGTAGTCCTTAAAACTTAGATCAATTGTACCAAAACTCAGAATTACTAATTAACTCCCAATCTCTCAGTCTGGGACATGACAAAACTAACACATTTCATGTCAATCCATTTCTATTTGTAAGTAATAAATAACATTTATAATTATTTCATCACTTTTAATTAACAATCAGGGACAAAGTATCACAGATATAACGAGGAAAAAGGAGATCACAAGTATTCAAAGAGAGATAACCCCAACAAACTGAAAGAACAAATTGGAATGTTTATACAGTTTTAATAGGTTGTTGAACAAATTGAAGTAATTTTTTTAAAATAAGGATTTTTTTTCTACTCTGTTATATGAATAAAATACATATAAAAGAATAAAGTAAGCTGGATAAAGGGGTCTGCAAATTTTGGTAAAAAAATTGTGAAAACAGAGATTTTTTAATGAAATGAAATGCTGAACGTAAATATGATTTGGAGATAGAAAGATGTGTTTTTGTATAAAAAATAAATCATATTTACATGTGAACCATTTAAACAAGGAAAAAACTGAATAAATGAAACTTGACATAAAAAATTATATTATGCTAAGTTGTGTCACATTTTTATACAACTTACAATATTTGCCTCACATTCATTTCACACCAACTATAATAGCTGCAGAAATCCAATGATATACAATACATGTCATTATTTTTTAAAATATGAATTGGAATGTCATAAACATACATAATCTCCCCATAAAAACACTCATAAACTGAAAAAATAGAATAACATTGTAATAATTAAATAATTCCCTTTTTCATCCATAATAAAATTTCCCTTTCTAACCACAAAAAATGAGACAGATTGTTTTTTTTCCTGCACACACTTGCATGCAAAAACACATAAAACAACAATTTAAAAACAAAACTTAAGAAAAGAAAAAATAAATACAACAATTTCATGATATGCTCCACAATGAAGGCATAAGGACTTTGAACTTGTGACTGGTATAAATTAGCACTATAATTATCACTGTGTGACTTTGAACTTGTGACTTGTATAAATTAGCACTATAATTATCACTGTGTGACTTTGAACTTGTGACTGGTATAAATTAGCACTATAATTATCACTGTGTGACTTTGAACTTGTGACTGGTATAAATTAGCACTATATTTATCACTGTGTGACTTTGAACTTGTGACTGGTATAAATTAGCACTATATATATCACTGTGTGACTTTGAACTTGTGACTTGTATAAATTAGCACTATAATTATCACTGTGTGACTTTGAACTTGTGACTTGTATAAATTAGAACTATTCTAATCACTGTGTGACTTTGAACTTGTGACTTGTATAAATTAGCACTATATTTATCACTGTGTGTCTTTGAACTTGTGACTTGTATAAATTAGCACTATATTTATCACTGTGTGTCTTTGAACTTGTGACTTGTATAAATTAGCACAATATTTATCACTGTGTGTCTTTGAACTTGTGACTTGTATAAATTAGCACTATATTTATCACTGTGTGACTTTGAACTTGTGACTTGTATAAATTAGCACTATATTTATCACTGTGTGACTTTGAACTTGTGACTTGTATAAATTAGCACTATATTTATCACTGTGTGACTTTGAACTAGTGACTTGTATAAATTAGTACTATATTTATCACTGTGTGACTTTGAACTTGTGACTTGTATAAATTAGCACTATTATTATCACTGTGTGACTTTGAACTTGTGACTTGTATAAATTAGTACTATATTTATCACTGTGTGACTTTGAACTTGTGACTGGTATAAATTAGCACTATTCTAATCACTGTGTGACTTTGAACTTGTGACTTGTATGAATTAGCACTATATTTATCACTGAGTGACTTTGAACTTGTGACTTGTATAAATTAGCACTATATTTATCACTGTGTGACTTTAAACTTGTGACTTGTATAAATTAGCACTATATTTATCACTGTGTGACTTTGAACTTTTGACTGGTATAAATTAGCACTATAATTATCACTGTCTGTCTTGCTGTTCTCGTTGAAGCCTTTCTATAACCAGAATGTCCCCCTTACTTCTTTGTTGTCACCACTTTGTTGCAGGGCATTTCTCAGATTTGCCCAGAATGGAATCATGTCTGGCTTTACTTGTGTTCCCTGTAAATTTATAAAATTATTGAGATACATAATACTGTAAATTCCTTATCATTTGCGAGGAATTAATAATTGCTTAAATTTGCTAGAAGCATTGCTCCCAAAATAAAATTACTTGCTGTTTTTTTTTTTTGGTGCTGAAATCCATGTAATTTCTTTTGATCAACCTTCCATTTGCGAAAAATTATTCTCGCGCTTTGATTTTGAATAGCCATTTTGCGATAATAAGCACTTGCGAAAAATAAGGAATCTACAGTAGTTAATGACCATTTAAAATCCTCAACAATTTTTCATTTCTCATGTAAAAGATCGAAAATGATTCTCAAGAAATCGGAAATATCAAAAACAATTTTGCCAATTTCAGAGAAGGTGAAATTTTTAATCATTTCCAGCATTGTCTAATGACATTAAAGGTACTTTTTTTGATACTTATTTTTCCTTACGTTTCTAAACATTTGTACTGCCTCTTTAAACCTCTGTTTTCTCATTAGGAAGTCTCCATATGTAGCATGTACGTCCCACAACTTGAGATTCATCTCCAAACACACCTTCAGCTTCTCTTCGGCTTTTTTGTCTTCATCTATCTGTCAATAAAAATAAACAGATTTCACAGTTTATTTTATAAATTGTGATTCTAATCTCCTGCAATTGAAATTTCTGTTATGTACATGTAAGATATTTACTCAAAATAGAAAATATTTTCAAATCAAATTTAATAACTTAAACAAGACAAAACTTGTTTTCTATTATCGCCTCATGATCTTGTGCGATTATACTGCACATGAAACAAAGTTCTTGTAAAGAATGATAATTAGTTTAATTCAGATCAAAAACAAATGAAATTTTAAAAATCAAACACACAAGCAGTGAAGCTATTTTCTACAAAATTTTTCATTGGTGCCAATATTGAACAACTGTTAATACGTGTAGCAGTTTTCTCAGGGTGCATTTCCAAATGGATGTTTTAAATTCAAAATGCTTAGGACACAGATTTGTTCTCAATGTAAAAAATAAAATAATCTCGCATTCATAAATGCTTAGAAAAACAAAATACACTTCCCAGAGAGAAAGCTGCTGTTTAGCTAACCTGAATGTACATCTTGGCTTTGTTCAGGTGAGCTATAAGGAAGTGGGGGTCTTTGTCTATGGCCTGCTGTGTTACAACGCACTTTGAAAAATTACGCACTTTGAAAAATTTTTTCAAAGTGCGTTAATTTTTGGGACCAGATCAACGCACTTTGAAAAATTTTTTCAAAGTGCGTTAATTTTGGGACCAAATCAACGCACTTTGAAAAATTTTTTCAAAGTGCGTTAAGACTGTACATCACAATTTTACACCATGTACACTTTTAACGCACTTTGAAAAAATTGTCATGAAACAGAAGGAATTAGACTTATATTTTAGAAATAGACAACAGTATTATCCCCTCGCAACGTATGACGGGATATAGTGATGCGATTATGTGTGTTATAACTTAATGTGTATGTTAGTTTTTTTTAATTATACCATCGATATATTTTGCTGATTTCCTGAAAATCACCGTGAATAAACTGATTCCCTGCAAAACAGACTAAATCTGATGGATTGAAGAAAACCAAGATATGGGCAACGAAGAAAAGACTGGCTGAATTAAGGTCTATCAGCTCAACTCTTTATCATTCCCACCCACAT